GCCGCATCGGTTAGCCTCTCTCTCAACTTTATCTTCTAACATGTGAAAGTCGAATTTTTCTGGAGTTATACTTTGTGCTGTTTTAAAAAAACTGTGAATTTGAAGCTCACTGATGTTCTTATGATTCCTTTAGAGGCAATTCGTATAAGTACTAATGAATATTCGATTTTGACAGATACTTCCGTCGTTTATCTCCATGAAATTGGTGAGTTTCTCTTGGTTATGTACAAGTTAATGTAAAGTCTGTATCTTTCGTGTGTAGGTAATATGAAAGTTTTTGTGTGTTCTTGCAGACATGTCTGAGCAAAGGAGACGGCTTTCAGTATCCACCTTGTCATATGCTGAATCTATGTGGTTTCAGGATCTTGATTGATTGTCCTTTGGACCTTTTGGCAATGTCAACCTTCTCTCCTGTTCCATATGATGTGGGTTTTGAAGCTTCTGAATGTTCATCTAATGTGCAACTGGATGCTCAGGATCCATTTCAGAAGAAGCAAAAACTGGAGAGACAGATGACTCCTGCTGATTTGGTGTGTGCAGAACCGTGGTACAAAACTGTGAAAGCCTTGCATTTGTGGGAGGTTTCTTTAATTGATATAGTTCTGATTTCCAATCCTATGGGACTGTTAGGATTGCCATTCCTTGCTCAAGACCCTGGATTTTGTTCCAAGGTAAACATCTTCAGGATCTTTAGTGATTTTTTTCTTAATGATTTTGTTTACATTGAGTGTGCGTTGTGCTGAGTTGTTACTGCTAAGATGTAGATATATATGACTGAAGCAACAGCAAAGATTGGACAGCTCATGATGGAAGATCTTATCTCGATGCACATGGAATTTAGACGCTTCTATGGACCTGAGGACTCCAGTTTTCCTTGGTGGATGAAGAATTTAGATCGTGAAGAAGTACCGGCCTTGCTTAAGACAGTTGTCTTTGGCGAGAGTGGTGATGATCTGGGCAGTTGGATGCGTCTGTACAGGTAAATGTTATTAGATTGGTGAATGTTACCCCATAATAAATTTTGTGGCTCTTCAAGTTGATATAGTGTTGATTGCTTCCTTAATTTTATTCTTTTCCTCAGTCTAGATGACATAAAGAGTTGCATGAAGAAGGTTCAAGACATTAAATTTGCGGAAGAAGTTTGTTATAATGGGACCTTGGTCATTAGGGCCCTAAGTTCAGGTTTAGATATTGGGGCATGCAATTGGTTGATCAATGGACCTAACGGCAGTCTAAGTTATGTGTCAGACTCCATCTTCGTTTCACATCATGCAAAAAGTCTTGATTTCCATGGTCTCAAAGGAAGCGATGTGATGATTTACTCAGATTTCTCATGTCTCCAATCTGAAGAACTGAATGAGTTTGGTTGTAGTTCTCCAGATACAGATAATAATCATATATCAACAATCAGGTACCCTCATATAAGACTCTTTTATACATTTATGAGAGGATTTTGTTTGTTTAGGTCTTCAAGTTGATGATCTTTCTTTACTGTTAATCTTTTTTAGCAGTGACAAGAATGATGAGAACTTGGCTGCTTCATTACTGGACACTGAAGAAAGCTTAGAAGAGTTGGAGAAACTAGCTTTTGTTTGCTCATGTGCAGCAGAATCTGCTGAGGCTGGTGGCTCAACCTTGATATCAATTACTCGAATTGGGATAGTTCTGCAGCTCCTGGAGCTAATGTCAAATTCTCTTGAATCCTCGTCTATAAAGGTTGGATTTCTCTTTCTTTTATTCAATAATTTTACTTTCTTGAGGAAATGAAACACAGAAAAAAATTGGTAATTCTTAGCTGACATCATTCTTAGCTCGGTAGGACTAAATCACTTTGCTGTGGTTTTTCTTAGGTTCCAATCTTTGTAATATCTTCTGTGGCAGAAGAGCTATTGGCATACACTAACACCATACCAGAGTGGCTGTGCGAGCAACGACAGGAGAAGGTATACTTCTGTGAATTGCTTGGTTAATCACTGTGAAAAAATTATATGAAAGATGAATTAAACGACAGTGTTTGTGCCACAACAGCTGTTGTATTATGTTTTGATTGATGTCGCAGTTAATTTCAGGAGAACCATCATTTGGTCATCTTAAATTCATTAAAGACAAGAAGATCCATTTGTTTCCTGCCATTCACTCACCCAACTTAATGTAAGATTTCCATGTAGTTTTCTTGTATTGGGGTTCATATTTTAATCTCTACAATCACTGTCTGATATATTTTTTTGTGTGAATGCATAGTTGGCAAACACATGTCTAGCTAATCTCTAATTGATTATATCACCACAGTTTACCTTAATATTGCTTAGTTCAGAAATATGAGTATAATAGCTCACGCCTAATCTGCAACCTAAATATGGGGATGGAGTGATTCTATTTCAAGACGTATGTTACAACATTCAATGATTTTTTTATGTTATGTGAACAGAGCAAGTTGGCAGGAACCATGCATCGTGTTTGCTCCTCACTCGAGTTTGCGACTTGGCCCTTCTGTCCAACTTCTTCAGCGTTGGCGTGGAGATCCAAAATCATTGCTTGTTCTTGAGGTCATTTTTCTCTCTTCCCCAACTCTATCTGATGATCCAGTGTGAATATCTAGGCAATATATCTGATAAGAAATATGTGTTGCAGGACGGGATAAGTGCAGGTTTAGGGCTTCTTCCCTTTAGACCAATCGCGATGAAAATTCTCCAATGCTCATTTCTTTCTGGAATAAGGTTATGTTTACTTGGCTGTATGATTAAGTCTAGATTTCATTCTGATACTTTGTTTGTGTTTCTTAATCTGTGCAAATTTTTGTTTGGTTTCTTCTGTCTTGTTGGATTGAGGAATCTGAGTTGTGTCTGCCAAAACAGGAAGTAGAATGGGTTCTTGTGCAAGGGCATGCCTCGAGTGATATGATAGATTTGACTCATTAATTCTCACATACAACATATTGAGCTCGTTATCTTGTCGTCCACAAGCCAAATGTGTGTTCTGATTCTTTTTTTGGTCAAACTTTGCTGAATAGTATAATTACTTTTGCAGGTTGCAGAAGCTCCCAACACTTCTTTCCGTTTTGCAGCCGAAGATTGTTTTGGTAACGTTTCTCTTCCTCAGCTTTGTTGAAAGAATTTTTTCAGCTTGGTTCTGTCTGTATTCATTAATCTGATAACATTTTATGAATAGGTACCTGATGTTGTCAATCAGAGGATCAATCTTACGGAGATGAAGACAATCTCAATCCTGAATTACTCTGAGAACAAGACACTGCGTGTGCCAAGAATCGCAGACAATCCAAACGTTGAGATAATGGCAGAGTTGGCCTCCAAATTGAGCTGGAAAAAACTGAGACAACGTGAAAACTTTGGTATTGCAAGATTGAAAGGTGAGCTTCTGATGAAAGATGGGAAATATAGATTAGTTTCCGGGTTGGAGCAGGAAGAAATTTCAGGGAAGGCTCGCCCATTGAGGCATTGGGGCTCAGTTGCTCCGGAAACACTGGTAGCCGCGCTACTGAAAATGGGTATAACCGGATCTGTTGAACACAGCACAGGTGAGAATGGATCAGAAGTCAACAGTACAATCCATGTAACAAATCCTAGCAGTGGCCTTATAGAGACCTCAGAGATGGGTACTGCTATTATAACAGACGATGAGAATGTAGCCACTCAGATCTTCCAGGCGATTGATGGAATTCTTGACGGAATTTAGAGTAAGTATTGCTTTAATTCATCAGTTCTTCCAGTGCATAAAGTTTGCAGCCTCATTCACAATGTGTCTCAAGTCAAAGTCATAGTAAGTCACTTCCATTATCTGGAACCTGAAGCTCTTCTGATCAACAGTTGAAGCATTTTATGATTGAAGAACATAATGGATCCTCAGTTTACGGGATTTGGAATGATCCTGGAATAAAGCATAGCTTAATGCACAAGGTAAAGTTCCATTGACACCCAAAAGCACTCAGGTACTCCCAGTTCAAAGCATTAGTCTTAGGATTATTGATTTGTAACACTTTGACCACCTAGTAGAAAGAAACAAGGAAGAATACTATGCAAGTATTGTTTTGTTTTGTTTGTGTCTCCTCTTCACTGATGTAGCTTTAATATTTAAATTATTAGATGTATCACTACATTTAGAAAGTGAAGGCTCAAGGTCAAGACTGTCGAAGGGTTGACCGTATAATCTAGGACAGACCCCATTTGTTGATTGATTCAAAGACTGACTGTAATAGTTATGCATCAGATACAAACATTTATTCTGGGTGTTACGTTACATAAGTCTAAAAATACAACAAAATTCACTGTAACAAGACTTTACGTTATCGGTTCAGGCTGTTGCTTTTAACGTCTTCTTGGTCTCTGTTTCTGTTTCTGGTCCTTGCCAATGCCAATGCAGAACCAGCCGATGGCTGCTCCTACAGGAAAAAAGACAGCTGCTGTACAGGCGGCTATGATAATAGCAACGGAGAATATTGAATCTGAGCAGGGATTGTCGTGAAAACTCCAGAGAGAGAGATGCGTGCATTGCTTAATTCAGGAATTGGACCTTTGAGATGATTGTGTGCCACTGAGAAATGTTTGAGTCGTGGATTCGAGACTAACGAGCGGGCGGGATGTGACCAGTGAACCGGTTATGATCAAGCAAAAGAGTATCTAGATAGGTGATGTTTGTCCAAGTATCAGGGATTTCACCAGAGAAGCTATTGTAAGAGAGATCCATAGCACTAAGATATCGAAGAGCGGAGAAAACGTCTGATGGAAGAGTGCCAGAGAGGTTGTTTCCAGTCAGATTTAGAACCACCAAATACGAGCATTCCTTAATCCCACTAGGAAACTCTCCCTCCAGACCAAAACCACCAAGATCGATGTTTAATACCAGGTTCTTGCTATCATCATGCCAACAAACCACACCACTGAACTTGCACAGATAAACTTCAGTGTGGTTTTCAAATACCCAATTGGACAGATGTCCATTGGGGTCCTTAAGTTGGGATTTTAATGTTCTCAGGCAATCTATGTCAGACTCAAATGCACACGTCAAGCTAGAGACCAGTAACACCCAGAGACAGGTCCAGATCAAAATGGCACAAACTACTTTAGCCACCATCATAGCCCAAATTCCACCAAGCAAGCCGAATCAGTTTCTACTTTCTAGGGTCGGGCTTTTCTTGAATGCATCTGTAAATAAATCATCAACAACAAAAATACAAGATTGACAATAAGTACCCAGATAACCATGCCCAAGAAGACAATTAAATACTCAAAGCTCCAATGACTCACCAGAGGAAAATACTATAGCAATTAGGAACCAGACAGCGAGAATTTTGTTGCTATTTTTGCCGAGCACCAT